GTTCTCTAGATGTATCGCTGCAAGCCAGCGGGTTATTAACGCACAACGTAATGTATAATAATCACAGCGTTCAGTTATCTCCCTGCGCGTAATAACTGCCTTTCGTGTGTGCAATTAAACCAGACAGACACTTTAATAACTAATGTGCTTTGTTTTTGATGAGCCTCAAGGTTTGTTTGTTAGCCGGGGTTAAAGATATGAATTCGAACTAGTTCCCACGCGTAACTGTTGTTTATCAGTTGTTTTTGTATTACCACGGCATGCAATTTTAAACCATTAACCCCCCCCCCCCCTCTCCTGTGTTCTTTAATATCTTGTAGTCACGCGTGGCCAACCCCTTTTATCATAAAATGTCGTCACAAAGCTCCAGCAGTCCCTCCTAGATAACCGTAATTCTAACTCTAGTCGTACTTTTTTTTATCGTGTTTATTTTTATAAGAAATACAAGATGTCTGCCGCGTCATTGTGTTATGATGAACCTCCATCCCATCACATGCATCACGTCACCAACGATAGAGCTCCCCTTCCCCCGGTCCAGTAGTTATGGACAATCTGACTTTCTTTCCTCCCCCCCCCCCTCCCCTTTAACATAAATTTGCAAACCCCATCTGGTGATCTGTTAAAATTTAAAATGTGTTTTATTTACTATTTGTTCGGATAGGCCATATTCCACCCCATACCATTTTCCACCCCGTACCATATACCATGTGCTGCTGCACTTTTCGTTTACCCGACTACAATGGCAGGCCTAGCTTTATTTTATAGCGATATTATGTTTTAATGTGATGACAAGGGGAGTTCACTCAGCCAGCACTACCCAGAGTTGACTGCCCGCGGTAAAGAACAAAGCACGTTCGTATCAAACTCTAATCTGTTACGTGAAATGTTGTAAACATCAACAAACTTGGGAGGGAAGCAATGGAAGAGAACTCCTTCCCTGCATCGTCTGCCAGTCCGGTAAATAACCGCTCACGGATTTCTTCCCCATCTCTCCCCCCCCCCCCCCCCCCCCCCCACTTCCCCTCTCCCTCTCCTCCGCGAAACCTCGTTATTGAGGTCATTGGCTGGTCGGTCACATTCCGATTTCTCCCCATCCTCCCCTCCCCTCACTTCACCGTTCTTTCATTTGCAAGCGGAGAAAGACGATCTCGTCTTTTTTTTTTAAACTTTTTTTTTCTCTTGGCCTTCCTTTTAATTAAAAAAAAAATTAATAAAATTTCCCTTTGCATATTCACTGCTAGCATCGTAACGTTCTCTTTAATGTCGCTTCTTTCTTTTTTGTTGTCTAATCAATACGTGTAACTCGATAGATGTGCGTGCATTTTTGTTTTGTTTGGAGTTATCTAATCATTTATTATTCATACACTCTGTCCTTAGTTTGGTGTATAGTTCTGCTTAACGGTTATATATAGCCTATGGCTCCATTTTTTGCCTCGGGAGACAATGGATGCACCCTCAGAAATGGAATCTAAGACGTGTACCAGTGTAATACACAAGGAGATCATGGCTTGCTCGTGCATCATGATCCCTCGGCTTGTATAAGTTTTAAGATGTCTTTGTTTAAAATATATACCCAGTACACTGATAAAATGACACCAATATTTGTATTTAATCGGTAATCGTTCATTCACCTTTACTATAGTTTTGTGTAACTTTTATTTATATTGAAGATGCGTGTTAAAGATTCAAACAAAAAATAATGTGTGCACTATAGCAGCTGAGTCGTAAAACGATCGAGGTTAATCTTAATCTTTACAGAATTTCTCCAAGTTAATGTTTTGCGGCAATTTTAGTACCGTGCTAAAGTATATTTCCCCAGGCAGTATTTTTTAACTACTTTCGGTAAGCTCTGTTAAGTGTCTGTTTCAGTAAAGGGATGTGATTTATCTACTCGAAATCTTGATGTTTCGCACTTTCTGGTTGCGGCGAGTTGGGACTTGAGAGTATGTGTAAAAAAAATATTTTTAAAAAAATGGCCGGAAAGTGCATTGTATAATATTTTTAGAAAATTGATCACCCTATAAAAAAATGAATCTAAAAGTGCAAGTTTGAGAAACTGAGATCTCGGTTAATTATTTTCAAGACGGATTTAAATTCGGGTTTCTTTCTAACAACTCCCTTCTTTTAGAATAGGCAAGCGTTTCCGATACTTAATTTAGGAAATTCTTTACACTGCAGTTATCCTCGAAGCTAGATGTTAACGTTGAAACAAGCTTTAACTATTGAAAATTAGTTGACTATGTTGGTGTTGTACGCGTTGTTTTTGTTTTTTAAATTAAATTTCAACAGTTTAAACGTACATACGATATATTTTATTCTGGCGTCAATGTAAAATTTCTTGATAAAAATGTTTTTAATACAATTAATTTAGTATGTATATATGTATTTTTTTAAAACTTTAGGCCAAAATATAACAAAACATGCGCTTTTGTCCTTTTACTGTATTCTTTAATTTTTAAAGAATTGTATCTTCGACCACATTTGAATAGTGCAAGGATCATGAATGGGTAAACAACTACAGATCAAAGCTTCTTAGTCTGTTTGTAACATTGGCGGAGAGAATGCTTACAACACCGCATTGTAATAGCCCAGTCATGCTTGTACCATACTACGGATCTAAATATTTTTTATTACCTACAATCTCATTTCAAGGAGCAAGTCATTGTTTTATCGTACATGTCGGGAACAAGGCATTGTTTTATCGTACATGTCGGGAACAAGTCATTGTTTTATCGTACATGTCGGGAACAAGGCATTGTTTTATCGTACATGTTGCGAACAAGGTATTGTTTTATCGTACATGTCGGTAACAAGGCATTGTTTTATCGTACATGTCGGGAACAAGGCATTGTTTTATCGTACATGTCGGGAACAAGGCATTGTTTTATCGTACATGTTGCGAACAAGGTATTGTTTTATCGTACATGTCGGTAACAAGGCATTGTTTTATCGTACATGTCGGGAACAAGGCATTGTTTTATCGTACATGTCGGGAACAAGGCATTGTTTTATCGTACATGTCGGGAACAAGGCATTGTTTTATCGTACATGTTGCGAACAAGGTATTGTTTTATCGTACATGTCGGGAACAAGGCATTGTTTTATCGTACATGTTGGGAACAAGGCATTGTCGGGAACAACACATTACCTACAGGAACATGGCATTGCCCACTCTCCATTATCGGGAACAAGGCATTGCCTACTCTTCATTATCGGAAACAATGCATTGCCAACTCTTCATTATCGGAAACAAGGCATTGCCTACTCTTCATTATCGGGAACAAGGCATTGCTTACTTTCCATTATCGGTAACAAGGCATTGCCTACTCTTCATTATCGGGAACAAGGCATTGCTTACTTTCCATTATCGGAAACAAGGCATTGCTTACTTTCCATTATCGGGAACAAGGCATTGCTTACTTTCCATTACCGGGAACAAGGCATTGCCTAGTCTCCCTTGTCGGGAACAAGGAGTTGCCTACTCCCCATGTCCGGAACGAAGAATTTCCTAGTTGCCATTGTCGGGAACAAGACATTCCCACCCATTCTAGTAGTCAAGAGCTAGTCAATATCTACATTCTTATTGTCGGGAAAAAAAGACACCCCCCCTCCCCCCATTATGGTTTCATAAACTACTCAATACCTACACTCCCGTACTGGGGAACAAGTCATTGCCCCCCGCCTTCCTCCGTCTGAAATTGATCTCCGCCGCTCCACCCCTGAAGAAACGTTCCTAGGCCTAATGAATAAAGGGCATCGACCTACATAGCGGGCCCAGCGTTGTTGATACTGTTGTCTTGTTATCGATGGAAGAAGTGCTGTTATTGGTGGCAGCAAGCCCCGCCCCACCACGGCGCGAACGTAAAGGAAGGCATATTTTAACGTCTCTCCACATGTTGTCACTTGCTCCCATCAAACTCATCCGTTTGAAGAGTAGGGGGAAAATGCATTCTATTGCTTGAAAACGGAGGGGAGGGGGGGGGGGGGGGTGTTGAAAAGAGAGAAAGAGGAGAATTTCTTCAATAAAAACAGCTTGGCTTTTTTTTTACAAGTCTACTAATTGATTATACAGATCTATGTATAAGTAAACTATTAAATTGTTTTGACTCTTCATTTCTCTCCCCCCCCCCCCCCCCCCCCCCCCCCCCATCGTCCAATTGTCTCATGAGAATTGGGGTAACATGTGGGCTTTTTGTTGTTGTTTGTTATCTGTGGATGTATTTTAGATCTATAAGGTTTCATTTTTGCTGTTGCTTCATTTGAGATTACTTGCGTACTTTACCCGAAACATAATTTTAAAATTTAAAAAACAAGATCTTATTTCATATTCAGTTGTTTTTTTTTTGTTGTTTTTTTTTGTTGTTGTTCTGTTGCCTTTAGGAGTCTGGCATTAATAGTTTTTAAAGAAAAAAATTTAATCAGACTTTATTTTCGCAAGAGTTGTGTTGCATTCTACAATCTAATTGAATTTAATAATTGATGATGTTTAAGAGAGAATCTGTATGAATGCTTGTCATGACAAATACACTCCAACATTTTAAAGTATTATTTTTTTTCTCTATTGATAACCTGTTTATTAAAGGTTGATTTGTCTCTTCATCTGTTATCTCATTTTGTAAAGTGGTTTTTTGTTGTGGTTTTTTTTTTTTTTAAGTATAATTTTTTTTAAGTTTATGAACACATTTTTTGTTGTACATTTTTATTTTTATCACCTTCTACTTATCACACTATTATATTATATTTTTTTCAACCACCCAAACTATACATTTTTAAAAAGGGTTTTTCCTCTCTATTTTCTAATCAAATTGTACACTTTTTTTACCTTCTACTCTTCACACAATTTTAAAGATGTTTGTTTTTTTCAACTATCACAACCATACATTTTTTAAAGATTTTTTTCCCCCTCTATTTTCTTATCAAATTGTACAATTTGTATTTTATTTTCCTGTTAATTTACAATAATTTATAAAAAATAACATTCCTTTTTCTGCCCATTTTAGATGATGAGAAAATCCAGCAGGCAGCAGACTCCAACAGTCCAAAACAACCTTTTGTGCCATGTAAAGTGTGTGGGGACAAGGCTTCAGGGTACCACTATGGGGTCACCTCTTGCGAAGGATGCAAAGTAAGACCTGGGACTAAGTTATTAGCTGCAGTAGATGCTGTTGATGCTAGATACTTTTAAAAAACTGAGCTGGCTATTGAAACAGAGCCACCTTTTATTATTTCCAATTTATACCTCGTACACATAAAAAAAGTTGAGTGCACTCAGTGTTGAAGAACTTGAACTAGCATTCTTTAGTAGATTTGAAGCCCGTCTTAAGCCAATGAAATCTATACCCATTCATAACTGTGTTGTGTATTCAAGAGGTTTGTCTCACGATTGGACAGCATGTCAACTTCCACTAATCCTGCAACCAGACCAGGCATTTACATTCAACTAATGCATGTCAAATCTATAAGCAAACTCTCAGACTCATGCAATGTGTTTTTTTACCTGTTACTTAATGTATCTATACTGTGGCATCCCCTACACCAGGGGTCTCCAAACTTTTCAGTCCGAGGGACGCATTAGCTATCAAATTTTAGTTCGGGGGCCAGTTTCTTCCAGGCATGTCTTTGATTTTTCTGGGCAAAGTTTCTCAGCCATCACCAACAAACGTTTTTTCTGTGGACAAAAAGATCTCCGCGGGCCGGATGAGAGGACATCGCGGGCCGCAGTTTGGAGACCCCTGCCCTACACAGTAGTAAAACTTTATCATACAGAGATTGTACTTTTTTATCTCACCATGTCTGTCTTTGATGCCAGGCTGTGTTTTTGTGTTCCAGGGTTTCTTCAGACGGAGCATCCAGAAACAGATAGAATACAGGTGCCTGAGGGATGGGAAGTGTATGGTGATCAGACTCAACCGCAATAGGTGTCAGTATTGTCGCTTTAAGAAATGTCTAGCTGTTGGAATGTCCAGGGATTGTGAGTAGTGTGGACTTTTTTTTTTTATCTTTTGAAAAATTGTCTTTTTAAATGTTTAGAATAATAATATTAATAATAATACTAAAACTCGGTTGAAGTACACTGATGCTGCCTATTCGTTAACAAGAATTTTAAAAAGGCAAACCTAGAAACTTAGAAAAAATTCAGTACATTGACTCAGCAATATTGATTAGGATAGCTAACTATATAACCCAACTCAAAACTTGTTCATAGTTGCTTTGCTGTCCTGGACTTAGCAGGGTAGTACGCAATTGGGTATCAGTTACTGTTTATAACCATATCTTATCAGCATTCAATGGCTACGATTTAAGTTATATTAAAGCTTCACATTCATAAGGTATCTATCTCACTACAGTAAAAGTATTTTACCCGACATTCTTGAAGCCTCAAGTTTACCTTCATCAAGCAGGTAAACTGTAACTAAAATGTTTACCTTCCCCGCTGTCCCAACAGCCGTCAGGTACGGCAGGGTACCCAAGAGATCAAAGAGCCAGGAGGAACAAAGTGTATCTTCCAGTGATTCTAGTCAGGACCAGACAGCACTGGAGAGCAAGCAGCTCGCCATCTATGATGTCATTCTCAGCATATCCCAAGCCCATCACGCCCACTGTGCTATCACCGAGGATAAAATAAAGAGCATAGTCCGTCACCCTGCAACTCTGGTGAGCTCTTGTCTCTATAGGGCTGGTGAGTAGGTCGATAAACAGTTATATGGCTCATGCAGGTTTTATTGAGCCGTAGAACTGGTTGGTGACCTACTTACCAGCCCTATTGGTTGACAAACAGTTTCTAAATTAAATAAGTTCCAACACAGGGGAAATTAATAGAAATGAAGTACTCTTGCAGCCCAGATAATCAATACGAAGAAGGGTTGGGTTTTTTTATATGTCCTTGGTAAAGTGCTATTGCAGAAATGTTTGTTTATAGTGTAGAATGATAGAGACACCTTGCTATGGCATATGAATTAACTTTGGCTAGCATTCCTGATTTAATCGCTGAGTGATATTCTAGAATTTAAAATAGCAAAAGCTTACTAACTTTGGAATTAAGCTGTTGTTTATTTCACCACTCCATCACATCACTGCCCTAAAGTTAAGTTTTTTTTACCAGCTGTACTTTGCTAGATACCCATTTAATTGAACTTTTGGCATTCATGAATGTGAATAGTTTCATAAATTTTGCAACTATTTGGGAAACAAGGCTATGTGTGTTATGATGTACATTTTATTCTCAACAGATGACCAAAATTCACATACCAGTTGGTCAACTCCAGTTCACAAATGAAGAAATTGAAGCGCAGCGTTTATTGATGTGGCAGCAGCTAGCCACGTTGATCACCCCATCCATTCATAGTGTTGTTGAGTTTTCTAAACGTGTACCAAGTAGGTATCTAATTAATATCCCGTAACTTAACTGGTTTAATTATATTTAAGTATTACTCTATAATTACATGTTATGTCTGAAACAGAAATTATTAGTGTAATTTATAATTACAATAAGCATTACTGATAATGCAGAAATCTAACCCTGTAAACAGACCTTGATTGTACCTAACATAAACATGGTTTAAGAGTCTACATTTTTATGTTCTAGACATACCACTGTTACATTAAAATATAAATCAAATAGCTTCTGGTGTCTATTATTATTTTTAAGAAATCAGTTGTTTGTTTATAATCCTTGAAGTACAATATTCATACAAAATTTAGATTAAACTACATCCTTAAAGTGCTAGATATTTTCATTCTCAGCTTTTGATATTTGTGGCTTATCAATTTCTCTTTTTTATCAGGTTTTCCAGATCTGTCTCAGGATGACCAGCTTATTTTAATCAAGACCGGCTTTTTTGAAATATGGTTGACCCGTATGTCACGCATGATTAGCAAGGAAGAGAATATTATACTCTTTGAAGATGGCAGCTGCATTTCTAGACAGGAGCTAGCAGTTGTTTATTCAGTATGTTGTTTCTGAACTGTTTACCCCCTTTCATCTGATCAAAAAATGGATAAATAACTTCAAATTTTATAAACCTATATATTTTTTTTTTAAATAATTTACAAGAATGTTGCAGTTTGAAATCTAGTTTCACCTTTTTTTTTTGTTGCGTTAAAATTATATGTGAGACTGCAAAATGTCTCAAGAATTAAATTAATAACCTAATATATAGGCCCTAACATTTTTAATAATGATAATTTAACTGATTATTTCTTTCTTCTCAGCCTGACTTTGTAGCCTCCATGTTTGAGGTTGCTAATGGTATAAACATACTGAACCTGAATGACACAGAAATTGGTTTGTTTACAGGAATTGTTTTGGCAACAGCTGGTAATTACTTAAAATTAAATCTGACTTTTATCTCTGTTCATTAGAATTAGCCATCTTATGTAACTACCATTACTCACGATTAGCCTTTTTAATTTTCTCTCTCTAAGATCTGCCTTCAAATACCCATTTATACTTGGCTTGCGAGTAGACTACTTTTTTTTTCTTAACAATGTGAATTAGGAGTACTTGGCAAGATTTAGTGAATCAGAGCAGACAATTTTTACACCTCATTACCTCTGTTGGTTTTGAATTAATAATTTTAAAGAATTGGTCTGAGTATTGGAAACAAGGTTCAGAATTTTTGCCTTAAAAACTCACAATTTTGAATTTTTTTAAGTGGTGTAAATCACCCATTCTATTTTTCTACACTTAACAAATATTTTATCCCACTCATTGTTTTTGACCAAGTCCTGTTCAGTTTTCTAAAAGGTTATCGTCCATTTTCAGATCGTCAAGGACTATCAGACTGTCCAGCTGTTGAGCGTATCCAAGACCGTTTAGTGGAAGCGTTAAAGCTCCAAGTCAGCCGCAACCACTCCAGCGAGGAGAACCTGTTTGCGACCATAATAATGAAACTGCCAGAGTTGCGCACTCTAGGCTCGCAGCACAACGACCTCCTGCGTTGGTATCGTCTTCAGTGGCACCGCGGCAACTTGCCTCCACTTTTTGCTGAGATTTATGATATTCCTAAGAACCAATCCGATGTTTAGCAAAAAGATATTTGGTTTGTGGATCCTAGTTGTGTTTTTTTTTTTAAACTTCACCTTGAATGAAAACTGGAAGTCTTAAAGCCCAGGATATGTCTATGATCAAAGAGGAATCATCCTAGTAAAATAAAGTCAAAATATTAATTAAAAAAAACAATGATATTCCAAAGAACCAATCAATGTTTAGCAAAAAGATATTTGGTTTGTGGATCCTAGTTTTTTTTTTTTTAAACTTCAACTTGAATGAAAACTGGAAGTCTTAAAGCCCAGGATATGTCTATGATCAAAGAGAAATCATCCTAGTAAAATAAAGTCAAAATATAAAAAAAAAACATTTGGAACTATTTTTGTATCTGATGCAGGGACCTGATTAACATCCTGTGCTGATGAAACATGAAAATGATATTATAAAACTTTCAGGGAAAGACTCATTGAGTTATGTATACATCAAAGTCTACATTATGGTGCATATTGTAAAACAAGTGAGCTCATACATAGATTGTATTAATTTCTTTTTCCTCTTTTTGAGGATGGTTTGTGTGCTTGTATTTGAAGTATGTAATTAATGTTTGAGTTTAACTCTTTTCTTGTCTTCATTTCTAATGTGTTTTTAAATATAGAATTTATGTTAAAGTTTTTTAATAACCTGTCTGTCTTTTAGAAATTAATGTTTATTTTAAAAAAAATTTCTTTATCTGAATTGTGGTACCTTTTTGCAGCTAAAAGAAGTCTTGATCATTCATCACTGATAAATTGTAGCCTGATCTCATGCTATTTTCCTTCTGTATGCTTGGGGATGTGAAAAAGGAAACTGAGATTTTTTTTTTTTGTTTATTTTAATTTCTTATTGTTGATCTTTTTTAAAGAATTGTTTTTTAATTTATTTTTACCAAGTACTAGTTATTTAAAATATAATTTTATGGTTATTCTAACATCTTCAAGCAACCCATTTGAAATATTAGTGTCTAAGCTCATTTTTTATTTTAAGGTTGTCATAAACATTTTAGATAATATGTATTGCTTGTCCTTATGTTTAGTACAAAATCTTAGTAATAACACATTTATTTTACGTTAAAGACTTTAAAGATAAAATCTTACTTGTGTGGTTTTACTTATTTGTTATGTTTAGTTTTGTCAAAATTTGAATGGTTGGATGTCATGCATCAGTCACGACCATTTACCTCTCCTATGCCACCACATTTGTAAACTCTCACCTTGCATTTACCAAGAAACTCACACTATTTTTGCAACGTTGTAAAAAAAAAAGCATCAGATTTTCAACAAATCTGACTCAGGGATCTGCAGCATTTTATTTTATGCTTGTCTTAAAAGTCATCAGCAATGTTCACACCATGTTGTCCTTGTATCTCTCATGGCATTTAAGTGTTGTCTATTGCTATTCATTCATCTCACCTTGGTTCATATCAATTGATAACTGTGTTTCATCAACAATAGTAACTTGTAGCATATTTAAATGGCTTATGGAAGTATTTATTAGATTACTTTCAAATTTTCTTGTGGAATGCAGGGGAATTTCCAATCACCAGTAATTTTAATTTCTTAAATTCATTTTTATTCATGAAAACTAGCTCTAATATCTAAATTATTTTGTTTAATACCATTCTTCTGATAGTATACAAAACAGACACTTCCTGAATTCTTTTCTTGTTATAAATGCTTATACCGAATTATATTTTAAAACAGACACTGTATAAATAATTTTTCTTCTTTTTAATAAACCAGAATATATTTTTAAAAATTTAATTTCAGATCTTTGTATTACTGAAAATATTATTATTTATGACATACATAAACATTTATGTAATTACTTAGATTGACTCAGTAATACTGTGACAATTAAAATTTAACATACAGCTAATTTATAATGTATAGTCAAAGTCCAGACAATCAAAACAAGGGCAAGAATATGTATTTAGTGATGACAGTGATCTGATTCAGGTTTTTATTTAATGCAGTATTGAATTTAATCTGCCAAACTACTTGCTTTCTAACTTTTCAAAACAATTTTGTTTTTCGTGGTTGTTTATAAACAGTGATTATGTAATTGAGATAAATAACAACTAATGTATCAGAAATGTTAATTTTCTTTCTAAATCATGTGGGTAAAAAGTAAATTAACATTGTACAAATAAGTAAAGATTGTGTACTGCCACACACCACCTCAGTAAAGCTGATATCAAATCTTACACAACCAAAGATGCTTGTTGATATTGACATTTTTAAACATTTTTTGTATGATATAATGTACAGTGACTTGGGCTATATGTAACTCTTTCTATTTCATAAATTCTCAATGTAGCAATTTTTTATTTCTTAAATGTTACTGTTTCTGCAATACTTAATTCAGAATCATTGTTAATAAAAATGTTTTTCTATAAAATTATTTTTTAAAATTTATAATTAGGCAGCCAATTCCACCAATAAAATTTAACACCATGAGCATATACATTTATTTTCTTTTAACAATATTCAAAAATAGATTTTTTAAAACACTTGCAGTTTCCTTTAGGTTGTAATTCCAAACTGATGTTCCAAATCACCTTTTTTAGTTTTTTGTTCATCTTTTACTAAATTCAAAATTACCTTTTTAAAAATTTATCTAAATTTTCTTCCGTATTGTAATTTTAATCTATTTTTTCTAATGATTGGGTTTTAAAACAAAATTTTTAATTTGAAGTTGTCTAAACTGTCCCATAGTCCTTGTGTACATTATATAACTTATTAAAAAATAATGTGTCAACAAGCACATTTGACACTATCAATAAAGAGATGTTTGTAGAAGTCTTGGCAGTCCTTAATGCAAACTTTTTTTATACACACCTACATTCTAAACCCTATGAAATGTAATTTTATTTAAATCATCGTTCGTTTTTTAAAGGAAAATTTATATTTTGAAATGTATTTTTAATCATTTACTAAATACATATTATTTTAATCGACATTGCCGTTCCATTTGATGCCATATGATTTTGAGATTTTAAAATGAAATAATTTTATGCATATTGTGTATGACTTTAATCTTGATTTTTCTAAACTTCAACATAATTTCATTATGGCTGTTAAATATTATGTGAGTTAATATTGTTTAAAAGCTTATTTTTTATTGATAAAATTACATTGTTTATTATTTTCATTCATGTTTTTTTTTTAATGTGAATAAAAGAAAATGTTAGTGATAATATAGTGTGGAATATCTGCTTGACTGCTACAGTATTTCAAGTGTGATGTCCTTAATGAAGGGAACGTACTCTGTGAGAAAGAAAACAGACTAGTCTTCTCTTGTCATTTTTTTTTAAATTTGTATTAATATATATGTAAATTATAAATAGAAAGTCTTGGTCCACTGAAAAAATGAATGGATTAGCCAAGCAATATTTCATTCTTGATTCTCAGGGTAACTGCTACATAATGTTGCATTGATTACAATTCTTAGAAACACAACTTGCTTAACATTACAGAATATCCCTTATAATGCCATTCACTGTCAGATAAGTCTTTTTTTTTTAGTTTTTTACAGCAATGGGTAAACTAAACAAACCTCAAAATTTATAATTACATAATGCTATTACTGGTAACGATGTGTTTCTAAGTGAAAATCATTTCATGCAAACATTTCACAGAAAACAAACAGAAACTCTGAGTGCCTAAAACCTATTTACCTTGAATAAATACTAAAATAAAGTCACATTTATTGTTGACTTTTGTGATCAAAAGCTGAGGTCCTCACCTCTCATACCTCTATATTGACCTAATACAAAAACTTTATATGTATACATTAATATTCTTTCTGAGATATTTTTAATGATGTAATATAACAGTAATACTTAATTGAAAATAGCCATTGACTTTTTTCATTTAAATTTAGCAAAAGAATATGTTATCACTGTATTTCCTTAATGTTAATATTACAACAGTTAAATATTTTTTAAGATTGTAAAAAAAAAATTCTTATAAAAATAGATTTTCTTTTGGCCAATTTATGCTTTAAAATCAGTCCAATACAACTTCTAAAATGCCAGTTTTAAAAAAGCAAAAAAATGTGTGCCATATGTATTTTATTTCCTTGTGGAGTTAACATAGATGTTGTACTATTGTGATTGAAAATGTTGCATTTTATCTACACAAGAGCAAGGGTCCTGTTCAGAGTTTTTTATGTACAAAAACTCTGTAGTGCCTACGGTACTGTTGGTTTTTTTTTCCTACTGTCAGAACTGTTAGTTAGGTCATCAACAGATTTTGTGAAAAATTTGCAAATGTTTCTTGCTTGAATACAAGGCAATTGTAAAATATAAATATTAGTTTTAGACAATGCTAGAATAATAAATAAAATGTATAATCAAGAAAATGGTCATCAATGAGTATCTTTAGGTACATACTGAAATTTATACCTACATAGATACACACATATATATATATATATATATATATATATATATATATATATATATATATATGTACATTAGGGTATGATAAAGAGATAGATACAGGCATATATATATCTTATATCTTATGGGTCATTTTAGTCGACAGTAAAGTGGGAGCTAATATACCCATTGTATATTTTTTTTAGATTTTTAATAAATTTTCTCTGTACAAGTTTTGTCTTTTGAATGCCTCTCAGTTTTCACATTGCATTACCTAGATGGTTTATGTGGTTATTTTTAAAACATCTATTCTTTGATATTAATGTGATTTTTACATGAAAGCAATTGGACATCATACATTTTTTTTGTATAATCACCTTTGATATTGTAAATTGAGAAGCAGCAACAACCACTAATATCAGCAGCCCTTAGCAAAACATGGAGACCTACCTCTGTATAAGTAGTATGTATTTTGCATCTATGTCATGGGGTGCACCATACATTCCCCTTAGTAATACTAGAAATAACAATGCTCAACCAGGATCAACTAAAATGTCATTGCTCCCTCTGTACACAAGCAACTCAAAACTAGCAGCGTTGCATCATTACTGTTACATACCTCTTACAGTGCACAAATACTT